AAACACACCAGACCCATTAACCTTTTGTTTTATTCCACGTGGGCTCCTGAGATGTTCCCTTTGTTTGCACCACTATGCTGACCAAGAGCTATGAACTCAGGGGCAACACGCCTGTGCATGTGAGGCAACACCACTGAAAGCAGTGGCTCTACATCTAGAACTGGGCAGAACATGGCCCTTTGCACCTTCCTTATCTGCCACAATGGGGCTGACTTATTAATAAAGCCTCTGATTAAGGAAAGGTATAACCACTGCAGGGAGGTTTAAAACAACCTGATCATTGAACATTGAAATGGACCCACTGCTATGATTAAAAAGCCATGGAGCTTGGAGGCCTGTGGCTCTGGGTTTTTATATAGTCGTGAATAAGTAGACACACAGCCTGCATGGCTGAAACCTTGAGTCTGATTTGCCCTGTGGATGTTTTATACCAGCTGCTGCCCCAAGAAAAAGGTGGAAAGGGGAATTCCCATGGCTGCACTTCCACAGCAAGAGCCAGTATCATCTCAGCTTCTTCATAAATTTCCCCAAGTGGAATAAATTACACCAAAACACGATGGCTGTGAAAGGAGAGGAGGCAGTGGAAGAAGCATTAGCATTGTTTTGGGAGTGGAGGGATAAGAAAGGATTCCCCCTAGCCCCCAAAACCATTATGAAAACCAGAGCCCTTGGAAGACAACAGGGAGGGTTTTCAATTAGCTCAGGCCTAGAGCCCTCAAGAAGCTGCTGGGTCTACAGATCTGGAGTTTGCCACTGATTCTGCAGAAGGGGAACAGGTAGCAGTGGGGTGCAGGGGTTGCTTTAAGCATGGCCACAAATGTACTGATATTGAGCCAAAATCAGCCCATTGGCATCAAGTGTTCGATTTGAGCCACTGCAGGGATCAAACCCTCTTACTCTTTGCACGCGTGCCAAACTGAGAACTCTGCCTGGCCCTCGGCTTGACCTAAGGAAGCCATCCCCACAAACAGGAAAGAGCATGTGGCAGTCCTGATCCTTCAGTCCTCAAGTCCACTCCCAGCCTGATGCACAAACGGCTCATTGATCCATTTGTGACCATTCAGCAACCCGGGGCATGGAGAGGACACAAGCATGGGTTGAGAAAACTGTGTTGGCACAGAGTGAACATGAACTTTCACGCAGATGGTGTCCAGTGAAAACAAACTCAACAGAGGAAAGAATGACAGAGAGAGAAAGAGACCGATAGTTGGTTAAAAGAAATGTGGAGAGAAGAAATGGATAAAGAAAGAAAGAATAGGAAAGAGGGGTGGGTCACTAGGGTGGCTGGTTGGACTATTAAAAGCAGCAATGACTAGACTATCCCACTGCTAACAGCTGTCTTGTAGTTGGTGCTTTATGAAACACTGATGCTTACATCAAAAAAATAGAGACACTTAGGCAACTTCATGATACAACCAGGCTCCTGGTTGTATCATGAAGTTGCCAAGTGGCTACTGTTTTTCTTTAAGTGGGAGAAGGCCTGGTATAATTTCATTCTCTCTTCCTTGGCAAAGTCTGAAGGCTACTGGTTGTGGCAAACTGTGCAAGCCAAATGCTTTGCTGATGAGATTCAGTGTCTAGCTCTGCCGGAGTTGAGAGAGTTATGCAGAGTTACGTCAGCAGAACATCCTGTCCTGCATTTCCAAGCCTGCCTAAACGAAGCGTACCTTCTAATGTACACCTGCAGACCTACTGCTTCAGCTCAAGGGCTCTCTAGACTACCCAAAGCCACTGTGTTGACAGGAGAACTAGGAACACCACAGCAGACCACTTTGAGTTGGAACATGGTTTACATCAGAGGGCATACAAGACTGCATCATGTTTGAACCACGTTCCAACTTGCAGGACCGTGGCATGGTTCAGAAATGTGGAAATGGCTGATTCTTGCCCTGATACAAGCTCAGATCTTCTTTCTAACTGTGCTGGAAGCTGGGGTGTTGCAAAATGTTGGCTCTTGGTAGGCAAGAGGACTGGAATACAATCCTGGCCAGTAACAAAAAACAATCTCCAGAACTCTCCTTTATAAACTAGGAAAGCTCTGTAGGTAGGACAACCCACCATGAGAGCTTTGTTCCTCACTCATGTTCAACCAACACTGACTAGACATGAAGAAAAGCAAAGGTTCCCTCAGACCCTTTTTCCACTCTGCCTCCAAAGAGTTTGATCCTGCAATACATCTCAAAGTAGCTTTTTGTACCCTTTTTCCTATGGACATAACACAGAAGGTTTTGAAGCAGTGAGGAAATGGAGGCCCCTGACCATCTGCTCCATCCAGATCTGACCCACTAAGACATACTGGGCTACAGACGCAACTCTCTATTCTGTCCCTTGGCCTGACAGGTCCGTAGCTTGCTCTGCTCATGAGGAGGCAGTTTTTTGGTGAAGGGTTCACATAGCAAGCAACAAGGGATAAGGTCTATTGGACACACTGGCTCAAAGAGGTAAATCATTCATTTCCAGTCACCACCCTCCGTAACAAGAGTCTGAGCCCTGCACTCCTTCTCTGCTCTGTCCTGGTAGCCCTGAGGCCAGATGGTGCTTCTGTGGGGGACTGCTTTGAACACTGGAGCTAAACACCTTTCGTCTGTTTTCTGGTGACTCTCTGCTCCTAGTGACGCTCGCATCTGTTGTCCAGGCCGCTGTGGGGCAAGTGATGGAGGTTCAAAAGCAGGGAGGGTGGAGGTGGGGGAGAGTGGAAATCACACCCCCAGCCCAAGTTCATGTTCAGCAGACTGCCACTCACCAGGTAAGCAGGCCTCAGAGCACAGCTTATTGTCCAGAGCTTTCACGCTTGCGATGCCAATGTCATTGTTATTGTCACACTCCATACCTAGGTAAGCGCCTGTCCTCTGGCCTGTAACGGAGTTAACGCAGTTAGAGAGGCGACTGGGTTTTGGGGGAGGGTTCCCACTTTGATTTATTTTTTTTTCCCTTTTAAAATAAAAGTTATACATGGAAGAGACAAAAATATAGAAAAATTATGTATCTAAAAATAACAACGGTAACTGAGTGGGTAAAGAGTGGACAATAAGGAGTCAGATCATTGCTGCGTGCGTGTGTGTTTCATGCCATCCTACTCTGTTTTTTTCAACTGTCTCTTTTCTTGAGCTGCGACTTTTCCATCAGTGAGGAGGGCCATGGAACACAGGAAGGTACTTCAGACAATTACCCACAAGAGCAATACATATGCAGGTTAAAAAAAAAAAAAGGCAGAAAAAAGAGTAGGCTGGAAAAGCTAAAGAAAGCAGCTAATAGGATTACCCCTTGTCCATGCATCAGGTTGCCTCTGGTTTGTATCCGAGGGATTTATGACGGGGGCATGTGGCTTTGGAAAACAACGGTGCGTATAGCAAAACCTCACCAATTCTTGCTTTGCTCATCGGAAGAACAGATAGTCAACTGCCACCTTTTGAAGGAGGCACAGTGCCAGCCACCACCCCTCGCTTTGCAGTACAGAGCTGATAGCCAAGACGGTGCTGGGTAGAAGTGGCAAACCTAACTAAGCTGACACAATAAGCTACAGTCAAGCATTGCCAAATGCTACTCAATTTTTTGTTTTTTTAGTGGCAAGTAAAATTCACTCTTACAAGGTAAGAATGACCAAGTGAATCTGGATTTGATCCTTGTCTCTTTGGGCACCTATACACGTGCAGAGAGGCTGCCTGGATGCGCTGGTCTTACAACACACCAGAGCAGACTCAATTAATTGAGTCTGCTGGAGCACAATAATTACCACACTCCGGCAGATGCCAGTCATGGGCATCAGCATCCCCGCGCTGACAAATGGTGGTGGGGGCACTTTAACCAAAAGCACCCATACCACCATCTTTCAACGTGGGGATGCTGATACATGTGATGCTCTGGGTACTTTAATTAGATCGGCTCTCGGAACCGTTCTAATTAAAGCCCCCCCAACCCCCCGTACCTCCCAGAGCATGTCTATAAATACCCTTTGACCTATTCTTAAACACACAGAAGTCAACTTACAACAGATGTTCCCAATTCACACTCATGTTGGAGACATGGAGGTATGTCTACACTGCACAACATAGTGAAGTGTAGAGACACCACAGCTAACTCTGCACACTCTCTAAACTTGCACAAACCTTTGCACTAACATGACTATGGAGAGGTCTAACCAGCTTCTACAGAGCTGCCAAGGACATTGAGGAGAGACCCTGCCCCAAGCCACCCCAGATCCCACTCCACACACACCAAAGCTGGAAGTGAGGTAGTAAAGTCACCCTGACAGCGTTCCCCTCTGCTTCCAACCTCAGGCACTCAGGAGACAGACATGGAGAGCAGAGATGATGGGCACTGCTGAGGATGACTTCCCTGCCTCACTTCTAGCTCTGGCATATGCAAAGGAGGTGCGGGTAGGCAGAGAGATGAGCTCAGTCACACTCTCAGAAGCACTGTGGGAGCACTACAGACACACTGGATATTGCTTCTACTCTGAATTGCACAGTGTAAACACACCCAACAGTTTTCTAAATAAGAAGGACATCAGCTCTTTTGTCCCTAAAGTGGAAAATTTTCATAGCCGACTTCTTGACTGGTGTCTGAAGTGACCGGATTATCATTCAACTAAGCTACAATTATTAGCATGAATGAACAAAAGCATTTTGTGGAGCCAAATCTCTGATGGCTTTATAACCATGTTTCTTTATTTGCTGATCCTCAAATTTCAGCAACTTATAACGAGCCTCCTTGTCATCAGGGCAAGTTAGAATGATTTTATGACAAAAAAACAAACAGTGGAGCTCAGGATCCATTATTATTCATACTTGGCAGTACCACATCACCGGGAGAAAATATTTTTTCCAACTTCATTGCGGGGGGGGGGTGTTAGGTTTTTGCTAACCAGAGACAGGCAAACATGGAAAGGGAGGAAAAAAGGTGGCCGTCTGTGCCTCATTAACTATCCCAATGAAATCAGTGGAAGTTTGGCCATTGAGTTCAATGGGAACAGACTGAGGCATTGGACTAAGTCATCCTTTTCAGCACCTTTTTTTTTTTCCAGAGGGCAGAGAAATCCAAAACGTAAGTCTGCTGACTCACTAAAGCGCACTATGGAAAATGAAACACATCAAGGGGATAGTTTTGTGTCCCCTGACTAAAGGAAAAAAGAAAGAAAAGACCCAATGCAGACAATCACATCGGCAGGAAAGATTTTCAAAGCCACAAACAAGAGGGATTTTCGTTGGGAACTGAGCGGCTCAAGAGTCGTGTTTTTGAAAATGCCTCCCTTAAATAAAAATAAGGATTAAAAAAAAAAGGACTGTGAAATCCCGACATACTGCAGACGTAGTACGAGTCAAGGAACCTCTCTTCAGAGACCGTCCAATCCCCAGTTCCAATGGCGACATAGGGATTTCCAATGTGGACCTCTCTTGACAAAGGGAGGCGCATTGGTTTGGCTGCTCGGAGGGCTGCGTATGAGGTAAGCATGCACGCCCACGGGATCTCTACCCGTGCAGCCAGCGCTAAAGCATAAAGCTATGGCCTGAGGTAGAGAAGGGAGGAAAGTGGGAGGAAAAGGGAGAGAGGATGTCTGCTGACCCATGAGGATGGTTTCTGGGGCAGGGGGGCCCAGGTCTTTTCTGGCTATAGCTGGTCTCTTAGGACACCTCCAGACCACTGGATGCTTCAGC